AATGTTTATGAATTTTCGAAAATTCCACCTGACACCCGATCAGACAATAGTTTTAAGTTGACTGAATGCAGACAAGTACATTAACTGATGCTCATTAGCTACAATGTAGTAGATACATTTGTCTTTTAAAATACAACTGGCATATAAGGATCGTAATAGTGCTATGTGGATAAATTTATCGGTTTTCAAGAGCTAAATTGGCAGCGCATCATCCCTTCAATGGCTTCCATTTTTACGATTGTAAAAATGAACTGGCGTAATGGGGAGATAATTTTGACTAACTAGATTCATGACTGCCTTGATTTGTCTCTTCTTGGTTTGTTGTTTCATTCTAGCATTTATACACTACTGTCGCCTAAAGGATGTACTTATGTGAGGTTTAGGATTTTTTTGGTTTTAGGTTCGGACTCCTTGTTTTTTTCCTACGATATTTTGCCCCTTAACACTCATTTTTTCTTTTCGTACAAGACTTCAATAGCTCATGAATGGTAATTTCAAAATATAAGAAGGTTCTAGATTTCTTTTCTTTCATCCATCGACCAAGCTAAAAATTGGGGAAAATCGTTTCCAAAGGAGTTTAAAAAAAACCAGAGGCTTGTTTTTCTTCTAAACGAACGTAAACATAGAAAAAATATTACAATCCTAAACGGGAGCTACACGGTGAAGTAATTGCTAAAACGATTGATGGATGACTTCAAAAACAACCCAGAGACAAAATATGAATACCCAATAATATTACTTTATTTTTATTACATACCCTGTGCACATGTGCTACAATTAGGTTACTCGTGCTCAGAAGAGCTGATGAACTATGCTAAAGGAAGAATACATGAATTTACCATGCTTGTAGCATATACGACCGTTTTTAAGAATACTGACGAAAAGAGTTCGTTTGATTTCTTTAGGAACGGGGGAATTAATGCATTTATGTATATAGCGCATGGTCCATATACCCATGAGTTAAAAGTTTATAATTCGAGTAGCATCGATGGTTTAAAGAAAACATTTCAAGGGGAGGCATATGATTGTATAATTAACCCTACCCCACCAAAATGTTGCGCAGGCAACCAACAGAATAGAACTGCAATAACAGCATATTTAAGAGAATAGAACTGCAATAACAGCATATTTCATCAATTACATGACATCTCAGTGTATTGCTTACTAAAACGCCTCTCGCTTGTTTACAGAGTTGTCAAGACTGAAAATATGTCTTAAAAAAGAAATTGATAAGAACATCGGAAACGACTTAATACAGTGCATCATTTAAAACAATCAATCGCTTAACACCACCAAAGCCTTGTTTGAGAGATGTTTTGATTATTCCATGGAATTTTCGCAGGCTTTAGGTAAACCAAACTCAAATGTTTATGAACCTGAATGGAAGCCATGTCCGAATTATACCTGGAAAGAAATCTACAATCCGCCTGTTCTAGTGCCCGACAATGATACGTTGGCAAGAGTGATGTGTGCAAATAGAATTAATTCTACGAAGTCATTGTGTTCATATAATGGACAAAATACAAAATATGCCAGTAGTGAGGCTTTAAATAAAAATAGAAATGAATGGTTTGCGAGTATCCCCGATCAAGATAAATCGGGATATTATTAAGAAGACCTAACCGAATAATCCATTAGATTATTATGCTCTTGTTCCTGTTATGGGTGTAATTTGAGCTGAATAAGGAAATGGAGATAATTGGTATCGTTAATAATAATAATAGTCTTTTATTCAGAAGCAATACAGCTTATAGAATTTACATATACAAATATAATAGCATCAGTGAATAATTACATACATGTTTTATAATTACAAACAGTTTGTATCATCGGCGGAGAATGACAACAAATGATATAAATAATGAAATATAAGAATAATATTATGAAAAACGAATCATATCAGCTAAATAAAGGTATTGACCTAGATTGTTTTTTCAAATAAAATGGTTTTGTATAAGTTTTTCCTTATATCAAAATATTTCTCACATACTAACATCTAATGGTGTTCATCTTCAATCATATTTTATCACACATATTACATACTCTGTTTTCTCTTTCAATATTACAAAATCATCCGGTTTTAATGTTAAGGCAGTGTGCGGACAATCTATATTTACTAATATATGGCTTAAACACAAAGTTTACAAGTTTTTGTAGGTAAAATTGTAAAGTATCTGGATCGTGTATATATCTATAAAAAATACACTTTGATGACTCATTGAAAAAAGCATTCATTTCACTGACAAAACTACCTTTCATTCTATTAACCATTTCTAGTGTATATAAACCTGTATTTCATACAAAAGGAGGACAGTTACATGTTCACAAATCGTCACACAATCAAGGAGGACAAATCACAATTCTTCATGCGTGTAAAATGCTGAAAACATCAGAAAAGATTACCAATCTTCTAAATACTAATAACTTTATTTTGCACACAAAAAAAAAACCAGAATAAATAAAGTAAAATATTAAAAATTCATTGAAACTGAGCACTGAAGTCTCTTACAAAGTAAAAATGTTTTTTCTTGTTTGTCACAAAGACCTGCATGCCCTTATGCCAACAAAAAAATGTTATAACCGCATATTCTTTTTAATTTCTAGCCTTTTTAAGGTGGTACCCAACACCTTGACTAATATTAATTTGGCTCGTTTAATTTTCATAAAATTTTGAAAAATGTTTACTTTGACCCTTTGACAAAAATATAACAATTTCCAAAAATTTGAACCAACCACTTTATCAGAAAAATTTCATTGGTTATATAGCAGTTTGACAAACACTAATTTTGATCATTGAGAAGCTTAATATTTCCTTAACAATACAACGTAATTAAAACGTTTAGCTGATTTTTACAGAGTTATCTCCCTGTAGTGTTATGTATCACCTTAATACCTATTATACTTTGCTATCAATATATTTTATGACTGAACCTGTATGCATAACAACCCGACAGAGAAATCATAACAAATTCATAAAACATGACAAAAAGACAAACAACATGTAACAAAGACCTACAACATGAAACGAAGACATACATAAAGAAACAAAGACATACAAAATTAAAAAAATACATACAAAATGAAACAAGAAATACAACATGAAACAAGGACATACAACTCGAAACAAGGACATACACCATAAACAAAAGCACACAACACGAAACAAGGACCTGCAACATGAAACAAAGACGTACCCAACGAATAATAATGAATCCTCTGAACGACAGACACAAACCAACGACAACGACAACCACTGAACCATGGGGTTTTTATTTTGGACAGACATTTAATGAATGTGGCGATGTTTAAAATGTCCGTCCGGCCGTACGTTTAAAACACATCAATACTCAGAGTTTCTATTTGAATTGTTTCACATTTTGTTATGACAGGATCATAGAAGTTTACTGTACGTTGTGGATTATGATCTTTGTCGGAGGCCGTGCACCAACAAATAGTTGATTACGTCCACGCCCTTAGATCTCCTGTTGATAATTGTCTCACTGATTGTCAGCATACCACATATCCTTTTTTGTGAGTTTATATTCATATAAACACAAAATAAAAAAAAACTGTATTTAATACATATTTTGTTATTTGTTTTCAGGGATGCAGGGCAATGTTTCACATTTTTGTCATGATATGATCTTATAAAGTTACTGTACGGTATGGGTTTTGTCAATATAATGGAACTTGATGCGTCTATAATACAAGTGAGAGGTTTAGCTAGCTATAAAACCAGGTTTACATAAGAAAATGCTTGTTACAAGTCAGGAATATGACAGTTTTTATCCATTCGTTTGATGTGTTTGAGCTTTTGATTTTGCCATTTGATTAGGGACCTTCCATTTTGTATTTTCCTTGGAGTTCAATATTTTTGTGATTTTACTTTTTGATATTTGTTAAAGGTCTTGCTCCAACTTATAGTTTAGTACGTCCATGTACTTGGATTTATGGTTGATTATTGTCTCACCGGTTGGCAATCATACTAATTTCCTTTTTTAATTTTGAATTCATACACAACACAAACTAAAGTAACTGTATTAATTAAGTATTTTGTTATTGGATTTCAGGGATGCAGGGAATTGTTTCACATTTTGTCATGATATGATCTTATATAAATGTTCACTGTACGTTGTGGGTTTTGATTTTTGTCGAAGTCTGTGCACCAAGATATAGTTAATTACGATCACGTCCTTGAGACTTTGGTTGATAAATGACTCACTTATTGGCAATCATACCACAACTCCTTTTTTTTTATTTTAAATTCATATAAAACACAAAATAAAGTAACTGTATTCAATAAGTATTTCGTTATGTTTTTTTCAAGGATGATGGTTTTCTTCATTTACAGCAGATTAATTGCTTTAGATCAATTTTCAAGTGTTTTTAAGTGTCAGCATCCCATGACCTGAATTTGATTTGTTTTCTTGCCTTTGGCATTTAAATATCGTACTACACACCCGTGTACAATTTGCATACCCTTCAGAAAGATGCTGCACAAAAACATACGCAAAATACATGTAGAATGATTGTTAATATTAAATGAATTATATTTGTCAATGTCTCATTTGATATGCGAGGGTCTAGATTGGGCTCATTCTTTTCTGATATTTTAATCATTTAGGTAATTGTCTCTATTTTTTTTTATTTTGTGGCCATTTATTCTCACTTCGTTATCAATTTGCCCTATACTTATGTATTTGTTTTTTTTTATCATTTTTCTGGGTTTTTTTTAACCTGTTATTGATTATCATTCTCTTTTCCACAACTTAATATGTTTTACATCAAAAGTTGTAAACATATATAACATACAATTCGTTGCAAATTATAAAAAAAACATATATCTACAGTATAGGGCATGTCACATCTTTTAATGGGACATACACACGGTCATACATGTATCACAAGGAAAACAAATACATAAGTGTGTTGCTGGAGTTTAAACGTCACCTTACCTCATCGAGATAACTATATTTAGCTTGGGAAACACTTATGACAAATAACTTTTTTTTACCAAGGGGAATTTTCACAGAACACTTGTGACAAGTAGTTTCTTTTCAATCGAGAACTGATGATTTGATTGTCAGATTTCCGAATTAAGGAGGAATTAGTTTTTAAGCGATAATTAGTAAGTAAGGTATTACTAATTGTTTGTATTATTTTGATATATTTGGCAAGTTTAAAGGTAACTAGTGTTGTAAATGTAAATTTTACAGAAATGGACCGTCTCAAATAGTTACTGAACCCAAAAGATAAATTAATTCATTGATTGTTATTTTCTTTAATTCAATAAACATTTATTTCATGTACATTGAGGACCAGAACAAGTTAATGTAAACATTTTAATTTTTCAAAGTGGTTTTATTTCAAGATTTTTTTTGAACATTCAGTCAAAGATACAAGTGTAACATGAGATCATGATAATAGCTTTGCATAAACATGACCATGTAAACATGTGGTATCGTTGACATAGATATAGCATGTAGATATAACAATAATATATAAGCATGTTTTTCAACATTTCAAAACATGTTGGCATTGTTTTTGATGAATACAGACAGTTGTTTATACAGTTATACGTTTCATATTGCAGGAAGACCTTCATTTTTTTAAATCAGAATTCATTGTGTAGAAGCTTTTTCTCTTAAATTAATAATAAAGCTTGTTTGACAAGGGTGAATGGCGGGAAATGTGTATTAACCCTGCCACATTCTTTAGTAACAATTAGTTAAACCCGTCACATGTGACTGTATCTGTCTAAAGTCAGGAGCCTTGTCAATGACTTTCAATGTTGTTTTGTATTACTAAAATGATTTTAAGTTACTTGCCTGTCGTTTATAGTCTCTGCTTAATTTGCTTACAACTTTTCAGACATGGGGCGATAAATAGCCTTGATATCGTCAATTTGTGAGGACTATATGTTTAACTTTAGATGTTTTTGTGCAAATTGTGTTGTATGATTGCCTCTCATTAAGATATCAAACGCGGGAAACATTGTAGAACACTCAATCATATTTTCCCTAATTTAAATTCAAATGTCATTGTTACAATCGTAAATTAGCTTCTAAATTAATAAAGTTAAAAAATAAAATTAAGACATACAGCAAATTAATCATAAAAAACAGACAAAGTAAATATTTCAAGAGTCCACTGTCCAATGTTCGAATGCATTTTCATAATAATAATAATAATAATATTAATAATGATAATGATCGTAATAATAATAATAATAACAAAAATAATAATAATAATAATAATAATAATAATAAAAATAAAAATAATAATAATAATAATAATAATAATAATAATAATAATAATAATAATGATAATAATAATAAAATGAAAAAATAAATAATAATAATAACAAATATGAAAAATGATAATAATAATGAAAATAATGATAATAATATTAATAATAATTATTATAATAATAATAATGAAAAAATGATATATTCTTTTTAATAATAATAATAATAATAATAATAATAATAATAATAATAATAATAATAATAATAATAATAACAATGCTTATGAAACATTATGTATAAATTATATAAAAATATTTAACAAATTAAAATACAAATAGCGGAACATAGTTAAATGTCAAAAAGTGTTTACGCATAAAAATGAAAATGACACAATTGAGTTTGTTGTAAAAAAAATAAAATTGAAAATAAAAAAAAAAAATATATAAGAACTAAGGTAACACTTGATATGATGACGACTGAAACAAACAATTTTTTTTTCATTTTCTGATAGATCATTGAAATTAATGTTATGTATTTCGGGGAAAATGAATATTCATTATTCGTTGTTGTAAAACAATGTAATAAAAAAACTGTCATCACCAGCTCAGAAGTCAACACTTCGGTGTTGACGTGAATATCAATTATATGATCATTTTTATAAATTAACTGTTTGCAAAAGTATAAAATATTCGAAATACTAAGGATGTTCTTATCCCTGGCATAGATTACCTTAGCCGTATTTGAAAAAAAACTTTTCTGAATTTTGGTTCCTCAATGCTCTTCAATTTTATACTTATTTGGCTCTCTAACTATTTTGATCTGAGCGTCACTGATGAGTCGTATGTAGACGAAACGCGCGTCTGGCGTATCAAATTATTAGCCTGGTACCTTTGATAACTATATTCATCTTCTTATGAGTTAATACTACAGCACAGCTTTTGTTTGTGAAGATACTTAAATGATATTGTGCTTGGAATGCTTGTGATGAATTGAAAAAAAATATTGTTTTTTTTCCAGTAATGGGCCGGTGGATATCAATGGGCCAAACGATGACCGACAGTTTGAAAATTGTCTTATTTTTCACTATTTTACTGTCTCAATTGCATTCAATCGCCACTGTAAGTAAACGAAAAAACAGAAAAGCAACCATACAGTCTCAAGTATCTGTACGGGATTTTACCCCACAACTTGTGACACCTATCTTTGAAGTGATGCGCCGATATGGCGAAGCTGAGAGAGATGAAGTGAACAAGAAAATTCAGAATCGAAACAAAAAAACACCGATATTTAATCAATATCTTCTTATAACTATTGTGTCCGATGAGGAAATCAACCAAGCTGAAAGTTGGGGAAAATCGTTTCCAAAGGAGTTTTTAGAAAAACGTAGAATTGTTTTTCTCTTAAACGAACGTGACCACGGGAAAGAATATTACAATCCTGATCGGGAGCTACACGGTGAAATAAAAGCTATTCACTTTGGCGAGATTGACAGATTGATGGGTGACTTCAAAAGAGACCCAAAGACAAAATATAAATATCCAATTATGTTACTGTATTCTCATTACATTCCCTGTGCGCATGTGCAAAACTTAGGTTACTCGTGCTCAGAAGAGCTGATGAACTATGCTAAAGGAAGAATACATGAATTTACCATGCTTGTAGCATATACGACCGTTTTTAAGAATACTGACGAAAAGAGTTCGTTTGATTTCATGAGGAACGGGGGAATTATTGCATTTATGCGTATGGCTAATGGTCCATATGTCCATAAGTTAAAAGTTTACACTCCAAACAGTATCGATGGTATAAAGAGAACATTCCAAAGGGAAGCATATGATTGTATAACTGACTTCCCACCATCAAAGTGTTGCACAGGTAACCAAAATAATAGAGCTAACATCACAACATATTTCATAAATTATCTAACGTACGAGTGTATTTCGAAATCAAAATCAACTCGCTTGTTTACCGAGTTGTCAAGAAATCAGTTGAAAATATGTCTTAAAAAAGAAATTGATAAAAACATCGGAGACGACTGTATACAATGTAGCAGAAAAAACCCAGAATCGCTTAGAGCTACAAGAGCTTTAATTGAGTTTTGTTTTGATCGTTCAATCGAAGTTTCCGAAGGTTTAGGTAAACCTCGTAATAATATTTATGACCCTGAATGGGTGCCGTGTACGAATTGTAACTGGAATGTAATATACGAACCTCCTGGTCCAAAGAGCGACAAAGACAAGTTGCCAAGAGTGATGTGTGCAAACAGTGCTTGTTCTATGGAGTCACTTTGTTCGTTTTATGAACAGAACAAGTCGAGATATAGCAAACCTTTTGAGAAGTGGCTTGCGAAGAATGATACACAATAAAATCGGGATCAAGACGTTTCCAAAAAATCCATTTGACTTTTATGCATTAAATTCTCTTATTTTGTAATTTTGACTGAACAAAAAATTTGACATAAAAGCAATCGTACTATAAGATCATTGGCCTTTTGATTCTGATTTGTAAAAAGGAGGACGGTGACATGCTCGCATGTTCACGATAGCTATACAATCAAGGAGGATGAAAAACACTTATTCCTTTACCGTCAATGTAATGAAAACCTTAGAAAAAAATTATTAAAAAACTTTATTTCGCACAAGAAAAACAGAAAAATTAGATAGAATATTAAACCCATGTTCCATAGAACATATGCACAGTAATTGCTCCTTTTTCAACAGTCATTGATACTTAAGTCAAGAGATTTTTCTAAATTCAAGTTGTCTTTTCTTCTGGTTGTCACAAACATCTACATGCCTTTATGCAAATAAATATTCGTAATGATAAATAAATCTATTTGGTTCATTTTCTAGACTTTTTGATACTTATGATCAATTGAAATCAATATCTGTTTTGACATAACCTTAAATATTTATAGAAATGCAGGTGGTAGTGTGTTCGCCTCGACTGCAGGCAATCGTGGGTTTGATCCCCAGTTGTGTTAAGTAAAAAACTTAATACTTTATAATTGCTGCATGCCTATCCGCTGAATATGCGGCATTTAGGAGTCACAGTAAATACTGGTCGGCTCGGAGTCAGGGTAATTTTTACAAACAACGTGGCGAGTCTTCATACAGACTGTTACATTGTGTAACGCGTTAACAAATCTTATTCAGTTGGTTGGTCTTGTACAAAGATTGGTTAACTAATAGATATGTTTTGCTTATGTGCATTGTCTATATGCCATTTTGTTTTCCTTTTGTTGACATAATTGTTTGTTTTTATAGTGATTAAGATTGTAACCCAATGTTGACTGCTGTATTCATATATTTGACATTTTTTACCTATTATGTCTGTTTGTTTTGTTCATACATTGGTTTCAATACAAAGAAATTTAGTGCGACTGTCATACAAGTGAGAGGTTTAGCTAGCTATAAAGCCACATTTAATCACCATTATTCTACCTCAGGAAATACCTGAATAAAGTCAGGAATATGACCGTTGTTTTCCATTCGTTTGATGTGTTTTAGCTTAATAAAGTTTATTTGAAAAGGGACTTTCCGTTTTGAATTTCCCTTTGAGTTCAGTATTTTTGTTATTTTACTTTCGTTTCATATTCATTCAACATTAAAATGAATATAAAATAAGTAGGTGTAAAACTATCCAAAAGAGTTCAAATGACATGCAAGATCTATTTCTAGTATAATGTGAGTTTTGCCACTGTCCGTTAACCACTAAACTTTAGCATCATAAAATGTTTGCCCTTTTTTGGAAACAATTTACATGAAAGTTCACAAGAGTACATTTCAGCGAGTGTCTGATGTATAAATACAGGATATGTTTGAACTAACATAACAAGTAACAATTCAATGGCACCACGCAGATCTGGATTAATACCTATTTTGATATGAGATATACTGATGAGTGTTTTGTAAGAGAAACGCGCGTGTGGCGTATACAAGCATATTTCTGGTATTTGATGAGCTTATTCAACAATGCATGACTCGTTAGTGATTCTTATTGCCAAAATGTTTGAAAATCCAAAAGTTATTCCAAAAATTGAAGAGATGATAAACCAAGAAGGACAAAAGGAATATCCAATGGGAACAAGAAGTTAGAACTTTGAACGAGGGAGATATATACGGGACCATGTTTGAGGATGGGAGGGTTGGTGTACAATTTCTGTTTTCTTTAATTGTTCAGGTCAGTTTTCTATTCAAATTCTTTTGACTCTGTTGTTCTCTATCTTTGGGTTTATGTTTTTGTAGATTTGGCCCGTTATTATCTTTTCTGTAAACTCCATATAGATCCTCGTGAATTATGTGAATTCAATGAAACGACAAAAATACATTTTTAATCAAATATTTATACAACGTCGAATGGGGAATTATAGAAAAGATAATATTTTTACTTACGAAGCATTTGTTCAATGGTTTGACAATAGTTAAAGATCAAGTTGAAAGACACTGAAACTAACTTAAGTAAGTGTTTAACAGTAATATGGCGGTATAACAGTTATTAAGTCAGGGATTTTAGTCTCTGAAGCATGATTGTTTATTATTAATTGTTTTGGATTTTAACTAGCTGTCAGTAGGCCCGAGAACACAGTTATTTCGTAGTGCATTTCTTTTAGACAATAAAGTCAAATTAAAAAAAATCGCACCTGCTCTATCTCAAAAAGATTTTTACAGTGTAGTTTACTACTATTGGGACAAATAATATAAAAATTATAGAAACTTTTACCAGCTCTAACTCAGAAATTAACAATTCTATGTTAAGGTGGTCTAAAATTCAGTTTGACTGTTTCAGACATACTAGTTTTTGACATTTGTTAACTGGACCATATCACTACTTAACATAAAGATTCAGCACCCAAATTTTTTTAACATGTAATTTCATCCCCTTACTTAATATTTCATGCACAAAATATAAAGAAATAAATTTGGAAAGTGTATGAAAAAAATTTGCAAGTTAAACACTGTCCACACTAGGGACTATATTTGTAGACAACGAAAATCTAAGGACGATAAGTGGTTCCTCGGACCTAATAGTATAGAAAGACTTGACCAATTCTAATTAAACTTTGCATGACCCAAGCTTAGGCAATTATAGGATAGCTGGCCAAGTTCATAGGCTATAGGATATATATTATAGAATCTATGGCAGTTTTAATATTGAAATTTGAATGTTTAATTTTGGCGTTTAAATCGAATAATTTGAACTATCAAGATATGGGCTTAAAACATTTGAATATTGCAAATATTTGCTATTGAAATGCTCTTAAATATAATATTTTAAGTATTAAAAGCAAATGAACACTCATTTTATTTATCAGTTTTATTACAATTATTCAAATGTCAAATTTATATGAGCCTTTGCCTGAAAATAGAGATTTTCTAATTAAGGGGAGCCTTACATAAGCATGCATTTTTTTCAACTAATTTGAAGTTTTTGAAGTTTTTTTCACCATAAATGATTCTTTCTCATATATTAAATGTACTTTAAATGGAAAGAAAAGTTACAAAAAACATACCAAATGAGTATAAAATGGTCTAAGGCTATGTAAGACTGAACATTATTTAGTGTCAATTTAGGCCGTAGCACATATTTACATATAAAAATGCATACAAAAGCCATAAGAAATGGAAATTTGTTAGTTTTTGCTCATTTCTATGCTAAGATGTCATGATACAAGAAGTCTAATTGCAAAAGGACTCTTGCATTCAACTTTGTTGGCAGACAGTATGGTCTGATGCACAGTTTTTGCACTTTTCAATGGAAAACTTGCATGTAGTTTTAGTCTCAACTGGCATATATTTGAACCACATTCTATCCTACAGAAGAAAATAAAGGTAGTATATGAAATGGATAAGGTGCACAGATCATTGTCAAGTGCTATTTTTTGTGCACAGATCATTGTCAAGTGCTATTTTTTACAGATTGAGTGAAATTTTTATGATGGACTACACATTCTATGTACAAAGCTCTTCACATTTCAAATACAATAAACAGGCCGTTCGACCAGGGCCTAAGTACAACACATTTTGCACATTTTTTCTGTGATAACCTACTTTTCTCTATATTCAGAGTTCACAAATGGTTATTAGAATTTGAATTAATCATAGAAACACGAAAATCAAAGCATAAAAAGCTGTCAGATAGAAAGTCAGCATGCCTCTTAGGCTTAAAAATGGAAACTGCTTTAAATGCTTATTTTAGCCGTATAATGTCAAATAAAGATGTAAATCCTTTACTTTTATTGAGTTGGACAAATTGAAACCAGCAAACCATTCAGGGACGTTGCCAAAGTACAGAATCTACATTTCCTGAATTCATCTCTTAGGCCCGAGAACACAGTTATTTCGTAGTGCATTTCTTTTAGACAATTAAGTCAAATTAAAAAAAAAGGCACCTGCTCTATCTCAAAAAGATTTTTACAGTGTAGTGTACTACTATTGGGTCAAATAATATAAAAATTATAGAAACTTGTACCAGCTCTAACTCAAAATATTGACAATTCTATGTTAAGGGGGTCTAAAATTCAGTTTGACAGCTTCAGACATACTAGTATTTGACCTTTTTTAACTGGACCAAATCACTACTAAAGTAACTGCGAGTACTCTAAAATCGTACTTTCTTGTTAATTGACCTGTTGATACTATTTGTAATGCTTTTTTGTTATTTAATGTTAACTTGTATATGGCTATATACAAGCTTAGATTGTTTGGAATTACTATAAAATTTCACTTATTCGTACTAAAAACATCAACATTATTTCCTTTCTCCTTTTGTGCTGTATGCATCTACATCTACATCTACATAATACTTCGTAAATTCAATAGGTTGAAGATTACAAGAAGGCACATACTAGGAAAAAAAATAAAATCTGAACATACAATGTATTTACAATAATTTCAAAAACGTTTTTTTTTTAAAATTTTGTATATAGATAAAACATGATTTTGATCTAGCAATATATATGTTGTTTTGCACTAGACTTAAATGCTTCTAAGTCTGGGCTGCAGGCTACCGTGTATGGTAATGAATTCCACAACTTTATTGTTCTAGGAAAAATGAATATAAATAGTAATTTGTGGGAGAGAATGGCTGTACAAATTTATGTTCTTTTGATGGTACTAAATATTGTATATTTAAGATGGATACTAATTGGTGTTGGATTTTGTAAAGCATGGTGACCGATGCAAGATTTCGTCTTTGTTGTAATGTAGGCCAGCTTAGGAGTTCAAGCATGACTGTTACACTGCTTTGGTAGCTGTATTGATTTAGTGTATACCTGGCAGCTCTTCTCTGGATCATTTCAATATTTTGTATTTGTTGCTTCTGCCAGGGGTCCCAGACAACACTACAATATTCTATTGTTGGTCTGATATATGTTTTCTAAGCAAGTTCTTTTGTTTTTATGGTGTTGGTTTTTACATTTCCTTTTATAAATCTGAGTGATGCATTTGCTTTATTTGTGATGTTATTTATATGTGAATTCCATGTCAGATCGTTTGTGATGGTAACGCCGAGATATTTTGCTTTGTCTGTTGATTTTAATATATGATCATGTAGTGTGTATTCAAAGATAATGGGTTAACGCATTCTTGTTACGTGGATGATTTCACATTTGTCTGGGTTAAAAGACATTAGACATTCTTGCTCCCATTGTTCTAATTTCGGCACCTGTACATGAAGAGCACGAAGTTTTGTCGAGCACCAATTTTAAAGTTTTATTATTGATATTCGCCCCACGTGTACCAAGTTTTAAAATAGTTTTATTGATGTACAAGAAATTTCTTGGTATTCCTAAACGGAAATTATACAGACAGAAGACAACACAAATTATTTTTATTTACCTGTGTA